CGATTTTTCTACTTGTTCCTTAGGATAGATTTATTTGCTTTCTTTTGTTTTAGTTTAATCCGTGAAAAACAACCAACCTCTAAAACCAATTTAGTCTAGACATAAAGTTAGAAACCATAGAAGAATACCAGGCACACAAATCTCTGTGGATTCGATCCCTAAATACTACAACTGATTAGTTGTGCACTTGCGGCTTTCATTTGTTTTTGTTAAGGGTAAAACTTGTTCCCTCACGTAGTTGACATGCATCACCCATCACTGTTCGACGGTTGGCTTCTCTTTGGGCCCGGGAGTCGCTTGGTCCGGAAGGCTCGTAAGAGTTATCTACTGTCACTGCAATCACCACGTGATCTTTCTCCGTGCTTTATCCTTACTCGCACGTAGAGCTGTTATTGTTGGGTTTTTACCCAATGGGTACCCTATATCCTTAGTTTTTTTCGAACCCATTGCTCTGTTCATTTAGAAGAAAAAAAACGCGGGTTTAAAATGGACGGGTCTTATTTTCAATTTACCCTTTAGAGTTATATCTTATCGGGTTTAGGGTATCCATGGGTTTTTTTTAACAATGATATGTCTAAAAATGACTTCGTTTTCCTCCTCTCTTAGCACGCTGTCTTCTTCTTTGCCTATGATACTCTGAGAATTTGTCGAGATCGAGATCTGAGTTTTCTCATCTGAGTTTATCCGTAGAAGCAGAAAGGCCATCGCAGGACTCGTAGTGACTCGTAGTGATTTGTCGAGATCGACCCGTCACGCCATCTCCAAAGCCCTTTGCTGAAAACGGAGATTCTCTCCACCATCAGATACAAAAAGGAGTTTAAGAACTTTGCTGCTTCTTAGTGACTTGTAACTTGTAAGTGCCTTAATTTCGTGCTTTTGCTTTTTTAGAAGTCACACACACTATCGATTTTGCTTTTGTAGGAGATTTTTATTTTCTCTTAGTCTAGAGACAGTTTTGTTTGTTCGCCACTGTGCCTTGAGCCCTTGAGCTTGTTCTTTCAATGTGCTTTGTCTGCAAATCTGATGGGGTCGATTATAAAGGCGTGGGGTTGCTTTCTAATATTGATTGCCAATCTAGAATTCTCCCTGCATACATGTAGTATTGACCTTGTTGTGATAAAAATTGAATCAGCCTGTTTAAAGTTTTGAGCTTTTAGTTTTCCACTTTCTAAGTTCTGTTTTTTTCTGAGATAATTTGGACTGTGATTGGTTTATTGATCTAGAAAAGAGTAAATTTATAAGACTGATTCTTTGAAAGTGTGCTGAGGTCAAAGAGATTTTATCATGGACTGTTTGTTATTTTGGCTTACGTGTTCTTGTCACTGCAGTTCTTAAAGCAGCTGCAACGTCTGCTTATTTTGTAACTTGCTTCATTGGCTCGTTGCTAAATCTCTAATTCAGTTGACAGGATTATTGCATATCTTTTTTCTACATTCAGTCTTTAGACTTTAGCTTCAGTAGTATTACTTCTCTTCGATTTCCTTAAAACAGAAACTATGATTCTTTTATTTTCAAAAGTTCCCTGCTTTCTGTTTTGTATTTTGCTCTCCGTTTTTTTATGTTTTTTTGAAAACTCACACACACGTATCAGATCTCTTATCTCTTATGTTTTTTTGTGCTGTAGAATGGATTCTCAAACACTTGAGACAATGGCAGCTCTTAATGCTGAGAATGAGTACATGGAAATTAATGAGGATGAAACAGAGACTCCAGCTGCAACACACAGTGAAACACAACCTACTCAACCAGTTCAAAAGGTACCAAACTCTAATAAACGCCAGAAATCTAAGGTTTGGAATGAGTTTGTGTCAGTTGGAGTAGAGGAAGATGGTAAACATAGGAGTAGATGCATCCACTGTAGTAAGAAGTTAGTAACGGAATCTACTCAGGGAACTTCAGCTATGAATCGCCATTTAAAATGTTGTCCAATGAGGCCTCCAGAAAATGAAGAAAATCAATATGATCATAAGATAGACCGTGCTATGATTAGTGAGATTATTATCTATCATGATCAGCCTTTCCGATATGTTGAATATGAAAAGTTTAGAGCTAGAGCTAAGTATTTGAACCCCAAAGTTCGACATATATGCCGACAAACAGCTGCATCTGATGTCTACAAGAGATATGGAATTGAAAAGGAATTGTTGAAAAAGATATTTGCAGAGCACAAAGGCAGAGTGAGTTTTACATCAGATATGTGGACAGCTCGTTACACTATGATGAGCTACATCTGTTTAACTGCACACTATGTCGATGATAACTGGAGATTGAACAATAAAATTCTTGCTTTTTGTGAATTGAAACCGCCACATACTGATGAAGAAATAGCTAGTAAAATTCTTAGTTGCTTAAGGGAATGGGGTCTAGAGAGAAAAGTTTTCTCTATGACGTTGGATAATGCTACAGCTAATACCAGTATGCAGAACATTCTTAAGCATCGGTTACAGATGATCACTAGTAATGGATTGCTGTGTGACGGGAAATTCTTCCATGTTAGGTGCTGCGCGCATATTCTAAATCTCATTGTAAAAGAAGGATTGGAGCTGGCTGCTAGTCTTTTAGAAAACATTCGTGAGAGTGTGAGATTTGTCAAAGCATCTGGATCAAGGATAGACTCATTTGCACAATGTGTTGAAAGTTTAGGTATCAAAAGTGGAGCTGGGTTGTCTCTTGATGTACCAACACGGTGGAACTCAACATATGAGATGCTTGCTAGGGCTTTGAAGTTCCGCAGGGCATTTGCTAGTTTTAAAGAGTGTGATAGGAATTACAAAACACTGCCTTCTGAGGATGAATGGGATCGAGGAGAGAAGATTTGTGATTTTTTGAAGCCCTTTAGTACTATTACCACTTATTTCTCTGGCGTTAAATATCCTACAGCTAATATCTACTTTCTACAAGTGTGGAAAATCGAGTGTTTATTGAGGAAGTATGTCAGTTGTGGGGATATTGCAATGGAGGACATGGCTAGGAAGATGCAATCTAAATTTGCGAAGTATTGGGATGACTACAGTATCACTCTAGCTATGGGAGCTGTTCTTGATCCGAGGCTGAAGATCCAGATACTTAAATCAGCTTATGACAAAGTTGATCCTAGAACTTCTGAGAAAAAAATTGCAATAGTTAAGAAAAATCTGAAGTTGCTTTATGAAGAATATAAGACCAACTCTTGGACTTCTTCGACTTTTTCAGCAACACCAACTGCAAATGAGCTTTTTACTGAATCACCACTAGAAGATGATCCTTATTATGTAAGTCTTTTTCTAATCTTTTCTTGTTCAATAGCATATTGTATCTTTAGCATATTTTTCATGTTTTTAATATGTTTTTATTGTTATAGGATCTTTTTGAGCTTGAGAGGAGTATCCAACCTGGTTTAGACAATACAAAATCGAATTTGGATATTTATTTGGAGGAACCTAGGCTAGATTTGAGGTCTTTTACTGATATTGAAGTTCTAGACTATTGGAAAAACAACGGGCAACGCTATGGTGATTTGGCTTCTCTAGCTAGTGATTTGCTTAGTATTCCCATTACCACAGTAGCTTCGGAGTCTGCGTTTAGTACTGGAGGTCGGGTATTAAACCCATATAGAAACCGCCTTCTTCCAAAAAATGTCCAGGCATTGATTTGCACGCGCAATTGGTTGCGTGGTTTTGCAGAGCTTGAAGGTAACTCAAAATTAGCTTATACATTCGTTACTTTTAAGTATATTATTAACTCATTCATATCTTCAATTTTAGGTGATATTGAAGATAACTTTGATGATGAAAATGAGGATGCTACCACGGCAAGTTGCTCATGAGTATAATTATGCTATCAGATTTCATTTCAAGATGAAGACATGTGAGATCTTTATTAGTTTTTGATATTTGGATGATTTTGTGGTGAGAACATGATTATATAATTCAATTATTTCGATCTCTTGGATCAAGCAAAGCGTTGTTCAATAGAAGAACTAAATGACCTTTATAAGCTATAAGCTATAATTTGAACATGGAATCACTAGAGCAAGATACAAAAAAAACAGAGAAAAACAATTAGGGTACCCGCAGGTAACCCTAAACTCATGGGATTATTTCGGGTTATACTGTAGGGTAATAAAACCCAATAGAGTTAATTGAAATAGGGTTTATAATGGGTGGGTACATTTTGAGTTCGGGTAAGGTAGGGTAAAATTACCCAAAATAACAACATGACTCGCACGGTACCGCAAACTACTTCCCAGTAGGTCATCCATCCTGAGATTACGCCACCATAAGCACGTTTAACTCTGAAATTTTTTCAAAACACTTGACCGGAAAATATAAATGCACTTTAATAACATAAGTAACCAAATCAATTTTTATAAACTTTTTTTTTACATATATCAGAAATCGGGATGTCACAGCCACAAAATCCATATTCTAGGCCTGGCATCATCCGTCATCCGTCATCATCCGTCATCCGTCATCATCCGTCATCCGTCATCATCCGTCATCCGTCATCATCCGTCATCATAACCTAAAGATCATAATGCCTCCAGAAGAGCAAATAAAACCTTCTTTAGTATTTGGATTTCACTTGGTTGTTTCATATCTCGGATATAGATCTTTAGTAAGTATCTAAAAACAGTAGAAATATCCACAAAAAATAGTAGAAATATCCACACAAAAACTTATTAAAAATATCAATTTTGATGAATTTTAGTTAAATTTTACAAAAATGTTTAGTTTTGACAAACATAACTAATTTTTTATAGATATTTTAGATATTTTGATTATTTGGTATAAATCTAATTAATCTGTGCAGTTTATAATTGTAATTTTAGATTATTTTTTTCTTCAACATCCAAGAGTTTAAAATCCATTCGAGTATTTATTTCGGTTTTCGTTCAATTTTTGGTGTTTTCTAATTCGGTTCGGTTCTTTGGTTTCTGATAATTTGCCCAAACTCACCTTCCACCTTTTTTTCTCCCGCCAATTGATTTACCATAAATTAGGGTTTTACGAAGCTAAATCGTCTCCACTCTGTCTCGATCTCTCTCTCTTAATTTATTCCAGGTGAATGAATCTCTCTCGAAAAACATGGCGATCTCTCAATTTTGACGTTTAATTTACCCTTAATTCTGTAAAATCTAATTCCAGAATGGCTGATGAAGCGGATGCTCTCTCTCAATTTGGTATATCGAAGGAGGTACTGTTACAATTTCTTCCTCAATTGGGAAAAATTTTGATTTCTTAGATTTATGTAATTTTGATGTTTTAAATATCGAAATTAGGAAACGGATAAGCTTGTTTCAGAGGTGATTAGATTCATACTCTTCAAGTCGCATCAAAACTCAGGATGCCCAATCAAACGAGAAGATTTGACTCAGATTGTTACCAAGAACTATCGTCAGCGAAACCTCGCGACCCACGTGATCAACGAAGCTAAAAGCAAGCTCTCGAACGTGTTTGGTTATGATTTGAAAGAGCTTCAACGCTCTAGGTCTTCTTCTACAGGTCAAACAAGGCTTCCTCAGTCACAGAGTAAGAAACATTGTTGTTTTTATAAAGCAAAGCCGCTGACTTTTTTTTTATTTTTATCAAACTCGGCGTTTAAGATTAGCTAAATTGTGTTGTTGTTGTTTGTTACGTTAATCTCAGGCTCTGTTGACTCTAAATCGTATGTTCTCGTGAGTCAATTACCGGTCGATGTGTTTAGGAAATATGTCGTGGAGGAAACAACGAGTCCTATGACTGGCTTCACGTTTGCTGTTCTTGCTATTGTGCAGCTTGCAGGTGGTAAAATCCCTGAAGGTATGCATTCTATGTACTTGTTGTTAGTGTTATCCGATCTCTTTAGACGATAGATTTGGTTTTGATGCAATGTTCTATTCTTCTGATCTGCCCTTTTCCTGCATTGGTTGCTAAGTAAAAGGAACTTAACTAGTTGCTAATTTAGTATGACTTATCTCTAGAGTCTCTATCAAGAATTTGTTTGCATGTTGACATCTTTCATCAACACTGTTAGAAACTCTTTGGCATCATTTGAAGCGAATGGGACTTCACGAAAACGATGAGCATAACCCTGTGTTTGGGAACAACAAGCAGGCACTGGAGAGTTTAGTCCAACAAAGGTGAGACCTTTCTTTAACATGAGGCATGTGTGTTTTTTGAAAATTAAGATTGAGGCGAAGATATTGGATTTTGTAGTTCTTTTTCAAAATGCTTTGTTATATGGACAGGTTCTTGCAGAAGGAGAAAGTAAATGGCCCAGAGGGTAGTACTCTGTTTTATGATCTTGCTGAGAGAGCATTAGATGCGCAAGTTAGTGAGAAAGTAAAAGATTATATTTCACAGGTACTGGATGAAGAATATACATTTTGCGGATTTTGATCATCTTTTTCAGCTTTGACTAAGATTTGGCTTTACGTGAAACTGCAGATCTTGAAGAATGACGTCTCAGTTGTAGAGATTGATTAGTGAGAGATTTGGCCTTTGGAGACTAACCAAATAGATTGGTGCAAGTCGTTGACTTTTTGTATTTTGTAAGATTTCCTTTGATTATTTAATGTGATAGATGCTGCTTGAGTAAACAAGTGTAGGCAAAGAATGATTCTGATATATTGACAGAAAATTATGAATTGACTTATATAATTTTTGCCATCTGATGACATATACACTTCTGCTACAAAATGTGTCAGCTATTGAAATAAGCCCTCTCCAGAGGAACTACTGATTATACAGGAAAGAGGCAAAACTTTATCTTGAAAAGCTGTATAACAGATGATTCTAACACAGCCAAACATTTTTAGCTGACCACATTTGCTATCTCTTTTAAAATTTTAAAGTCACTGAGAAGCTGAACTTCCTCTGCTAGATGAGCTTGAATCCCCTATTGACACAGTAGCCAAAGACTTGGAGGCCCATGCTCTAGCGTTCATGGCTCCTCCCTGGAGATTGCTCCTCTTGCAAGGCTCTTTAAGATGCATACATAACTGAACGGTTCGGCTCAGAAACCCGACGGTATGTTCCTGCAGGCTTTCTAGTCTCATGTTCTGAGCAATCCGTCTCCAAGTGAATCTCGTGAACACTACGAGTGTAGGGAAAACCAAGTGGAGCAATCTAAACAGAACGAATATAATGGCAAGAGTCAGATAGGTCTCTTGTCGAAACATATTCTCAGGTGATCTTGCCCATGTGAAGGGACAGTTTTCTGGCTCTGTGTTGTTTTGGTTCCCGAGATGAGGAACTAATACGCTTTTTTCGAGAGAAGTTTTATCCAGCGTTTCAATGCCTACAATCCCATGAAAGGTTCCCTTGTTAGTTCCACTAGTTGAGCTCTTAAAAAGATGATAAACAACAAATAGCAGGAGCGCAATAGCAACGATGTTTATGCAAATGAACCAAGACTGACATACAAAAACCAACTCTTTTCTAACTTCTATAAGAAGAAAATGCCTTACCGGTAACATCGGTGTAGAAAGCAATAAGAGAATCAAGCATTCTGGTCCCTCGGTATCGTGCACGCATTGTTGAATTCAAAAGTAAGAGAGTAGGAAACCCATGAACTCCATACTTGGATAGAGTGCTGCAACACAACAAAAATAATCAAAAGAACAGGTCTAAACAACGTGGGGTTAGAGATTATGGTGGCTTTATTAACCAACCTTGGCTTGACGGATGATTCCTTAATTGCAAAGTGAGGAATTGACGAGTATAGAGAAGAGACGACATCGAAGCTTGGTCTAAACGACCTTGAGAATGGACACCATGACGCATAAAAGAGCAAAGCCACATAGTCACACTTGTTCTTATGAATCATATCCAAAGCTGTTTGCAACCAACGCTCATCACCCTTCATAACGAAACAAATGCAAATGAATCAACATCACACAGAAGCAAAAACATATTCATATTTATAATCTTTCAGCAAATTCGCATTTGATAACATTCATAAGAAACAAAGACAGGTTTTCCGGATTCAGCTAAATATTCCAATCGAGAAAAAGCCCTAGATTCAGGAATTACAGTGAAGATCGAAAATTTCTTGCGACGTTACCTCAGTGACGGAAAGAAAATGAGGACGCTCGTCTAATTCATCACCAACAGCTCCCGAAACGGGACAAGTCTGATCTCGAAACCCGAAGGCGTAATCTTTAACAGACCTCGTAGCACAAATCGGAACCCTAACGGAGAAGGCGGCGACGGTAGTAGACGTTATGTTCCCAATCACAATCGCCAGCAGCAACAACAGGATCCCCTTCTCCATTAATGAGATACCCACAAGCTTCTCTCCTCAACGAGAATCCAGGAAAAAGAAATGCGCCGGATTATTGCTTGTTGCCGACAAATAAGAAAAAGCTGAGAAGTCGATGTCTCTGCGAACGAATCGAAATCGAATAAAATGGTATTTTTTCTGCAGAGATATTATCGAGCGGTGGTGGAATTTTGTGATGGTGGAGGAATTGGAGGATATCAATGGAGAAGAAGAAGCGGATGTGGTTGCTGGGCACTGGAGATTATTGCTCGTAGGAACAAAGCAAACTTTTGTTTTTTCTTTTTAGAATGTTTTTTTTTTTAACATCCTTTTTAGAATGTTATTGACAAAAAAAAAACTAACTAAACCGGATTTCTATTTTTAAGTAACTTAAAGAAATGGTGTTTAATCTGATTTTTTGGTTTCGGTTCAAGTTTTTTTTTAAAAGTAGTACTCAACAAAGGTTCTTCTTTTCATAAATATGAAATTTAATATTCCACCAAAAAGAAATGTTAACAAGTTGGGAAGTAAGAGAAAGATAGTTGAGAGAGTATCAGAAATAAATTGAGGGAAAAAGAAGAGTAGAAGTGGAAAACAAAGTTTTATTTTCATTTTTTTTAATTCCAAGCTCATTTTAGTGAACTACGGTGACTGGTGAACCTCGGTGAAGGTTGGTTACTGAGAGAAGTGATCCGGTTATGAATAATTTATACATTTTAACAATTTCCTTTGAAATGATTGTTCTTATACTCATCTACCTCAGAAGGAGTCACATTCTTCATTTTGAATAAGTTAAAAGAGAAATTTACATCCCTTGGCACTTTTTCGATTTGTATTTACAGTTTTTGGCACTTTGCTTTGAAGTAGCACTTTCCCCACTTTTAATCCTGTACAAAGACAACTTAGCTCTCACTTACATAATCTCCTATCAAACCGTAAAAAGTTTAACGAACCAAACCACAAAACCATTTTCCCTTATACTCTCTCAATTTCACTATTCATCCTTCTCTTCCTTTTGCATCATCTTCCTTTTCACCAGATGCACTCTAGAATCTTCTCTCTCCTTACCACGCCAACTTTCCTCTCTCTACAACTTCCTATGATCCACCCCCTCCCACGTTTCTTTTTCTCTCACAAATTGAGCATCCTCTTTCCAAAGATCCCGATACTGACATCACCGTAGAAACAAATCGAATGGAAGGAGCAGATTCCCACGGCGACGATGATATTTCAATAGGAACTGAGTTGAAAGCTGTGAAACATCCAGCTTTTTTATTTAATATACATACGACGGCGGATGCGGCGGCTCCGATGAGAACTAAAAGTTGCAGACATTTTGTCCATGTCAATCTGTACACGACCCGTTGCTATTTTTCTTTCTCCATGTGTTTTTATTTGAATCGACATATATTATTTTTAAAAGACACGACCATATGGACAACATCCAGACAAAATCCTTATCAAGTTCATATGGCTATATCCACAACAAGGCATCCCTCCCATGCAAATTGACCATCGTTACACATATTTACATCTGGATGTATCCACACATACTCAGTTCCAAGGGACAGCCATCTTCTGTACCTGTTTTTGCAAACACTCGTATGGCTGTATCCATAGATACAACACATAATATGGCTATATCCATATTTACATCTATATTTCACTCAACTATAGTTATGTTTTCTATATTGTCTATATTGTACACATCCACGTAGTCATGTCTATACACAAATCTTATAGTACAAGCAATATATAAATCATCCCATATATAACTGTTTCAGGGATACGTCCACATACCCCATTAACTTTATATAATGTCTCTGTATGGGACATATCCACATATAATTATGTTTTTTTCTATATCCACATATCCACAAAATCATCTAATGACTTGCGATGATTCATTCTCCAACTATGCGTTCTCACAGTTCTAACCGTGGAGTTTTTATAACGAAGTTAAGAGACAAATTATCATTATCTACATAATATGTTTCGACCATGTAGACGTCTTAATTTATTAGCTTAAATATGTTCATATCCATATATCGATTCATCTGTCGCCCCAACCAATCCAAACTTTGTGTACATATCCACAGATCACTATAAGGACATTGTTCTTCTTTTTCTAAAATAGTCTTGAACACAGATCACATAACGGATCCATGTGGTCGCCTAAACATGTTTATATCCATATATACCTTAATCTGTCGCCACTACCAATCCAGATTTATGTACATGTCCACATCCATGGTTGTGTTATGCGTTTCTCTATATTGTTCTAAGCTACACTTTAACAATTTAGGAGACACGTAAATGTTAGCTCAAAAATTATCAAAATTGCCCATCCATGAAATTAATACGAAGTCAAGAGGAACAAAGGAGAGAAGAAGCAAAGTCAAGTCTTGAGCAAAGTCAAGTCAAGAGGAACAAAGGAGAGAAGGCGCAAAGGTGAGAGATAGATATGAGAAAGCAACAAACAAATTGTCTTGAGCAGAGAGAAATTGTGTTAGAGAGATCTGAGAAGGTAAAAGTTACGAAGGAGAGAAGGAGAGAATGAAAGAAGGAGAGAAGAAGATGAATATTCAAATAATATAAATCTGGTTTATAAACTTATATCAAACCGAACCAATTAGAAATATTGTCTGGTAAAGATTATGATGGCATTTCACACACATAACTCATTCAAAAATGCTACTTAAAATAAAAGTACCAAATTTTGTAAATAGAAACTGAAAAAGTGCTAAAACATGTAAACACCTCTAAGTTAAATCTGTTTTGGTTATTGAGCTTTAATACCATCTGAAGAAGGGAAAATGCTTATTTTATTCCTGAATTATTTGTAATCATTTGATTTATCTCTCAATTATTGGAAAAAATGCAAAAAAAACTCAGAGATTTCAGATTTCACTAAAAAAAACCCAAGGAAAATTGAGGTGTATTTAAAACCTAAGGTTTCGTATAATGCAATTTTAAACTCCAGCCGTAAACGGGGTTAACTCACTAACAGAGACTAAAACGTACCACTTAATTAAACTCATAAACGACTGTGTTTTGTAATTTTACACAGCAAACACTCGATTAAAGAGAAAATAAGAGAGATTTTGAGTGAGAAGAGAGAGCCTCAATCTAAAAATTTGAAAAGAGGAAATCATTTCTATATCGATTTGGAGTTCAAAAAGGATCCAGATCTTTGACTTCTTTGTGAATATGGAGTAAGTTTTGATTTTGAATATTGTTCTTTTTCGTTTTCGATTTAGTGATTTTTTCTGGGTTATCCAAATGTAGAAACATTGAATCTATATTTAGGTTAAGAGATTTAGGGGAATCGATCCTACATAAAATTCATAGTGCAATTTATTCAGGGTTTAGCATCTATTTAAAGATTTCACCATGACAGCTCCAATTCACGACACATGTTCTTCCATCTTGCTCGGCTTCTTCTTATTAGTCTTCTTATTTGGTTTGAATTCTCTAATGAAGCCAAATTCTTAAAAATTTCAGGTTCTTTAATATATGATTTCATGCAGGTGGATATTGGACAGAAGATGAGATTTATATGGGTGGAAATACTCATGTATTCTGAAAATGATAGTGAAAGCAGTGATTCTGATTTGGAGAAAGACGAAGAGGGGATCACATTTGGTTCAGACAACGAGAATGTAACTTTTCATGTAGGATAGGTTTTCCAAAGCAAAGAGAGTTTCAAGAAAGCTGTGGATAGTTATGCAATCCATGGAAAGTTAAACATCAGATACAAGAAGTCTGAAAGTAAGCTAGAAAGTGACAGCTATTTGTGATGAAGATGACTGTGAATAGAGGATATATGCATCTATAAATAGCACCTCTAATGGGCAGTTTTTGGTAAGAAACTATGAGGACACACATACTTGTTCATGGAGTGGGAAAGTGCGCTTGTATACAGCAAGAAAAATTGCTAATATATTCGTCAATGAATTTAGGATAGAACCACTGAAGGGTCGTGTAATCAAGGCTAGGTTGGAGTTTGATCAAATTAAAATGTCCAAAGATTAATGTCAAAGAGCTCGAGAGCACTGCTACCAATTACTTGAAGATGAGCATGTGGAGCAATTTTCTAGAATGTGGGATTATGTGCTTCAGCTGCGAGAGTCTAATCCTGGATCCACAATTATACTTGGAACAAAAGCATAAGTGTTTGAGAAATTTTACGCTTGTTTCTATGCTTCGAAATGTGGATGGAAAAAAGCGTGTAGACACATCATACATCTTGATGGAACACATTTGAAAGGGCGTGTAAAAGATCAAGTTGTTAAGGGCTATTGGTCGAGATGCCAATGATGGCATGTATCCACTTGCTTGGGCCATTGTTCCTGTGGAGAATAAAGAAAATTGGCAGTGGTTTCTTGAACTACTACAGAGTGATTTTGGATTTGATAGTGGTAATGGTACTACACTAGTTTTAGATCAACAAAAAGGCTTAATAGGTGCCATTGCCTTGGTCTGTCCAGATGTTGAACACAGAATGTGTGCAAGGCATATTCGGGAAAACTTGAGAAAAAATCACGGTGAGTCACCGCTACTTCGTAAAATTTTCTGGAAACTTGCTAAGGCTTACAACACAAGAGAGTTTGATAACTTTCTTAAAGAGCTGGAGATACTATGCCGGATGTTCATGAGGCTATTAATCAATATTCTTGTCATTGGTCAAGGTAATATTACTAGGTTTTTTTAAGTTTCAAGTTTCTTGTTTCTCTTATTTTCTTTATGCTTCATTAAAGCATTAATGATATTGCAGAGCATTTTTCAAGACTGCATAAAATCAGATGTGGTGGAAAACAACATGAGTGAGTCTTTCAACAATGTTATCACACTTGAGTGCTACATACATATCATGGTTTTGCTAGAGTTTGTTCGTCGTTATGTCATGAGAACAAGAAAGGAAACACTATATGAGATTCAGAAGTACAGAAGATCTTTACCTCCTCGTATCAAGGCTTTGCTTGATCTCCTAAAGAAAAAGTCATCCAAATGTCATATTTGTCCTGCGGGAAAAGGGTGGTATGAAGTAGATCATGGGAGGAGGAAGTATACCGTGAATGTTTGGGGTAACATTTCTTGTACTTGCAGGCAATATGAACTTAGTGGACTCATGCCCTCACATAATCAAAGCTTTAGGCGAAGATGACAAGACAAAGAAACCAGAAGCATTGGTCTTGGATTGTTTCTCTACTACCAAATGGTTTCAGTGTTATGAAGATATTCTAAAGCCTATCGATGGAATTACGATGTGGAAAATGTGCAAAGATGTTACAGTATTGCCTCC